TCGATACTTGAAAATAATTCAATTCAGTATACTAATATCAAGATATACGATAAGGAAAATTATTTAATTAATACTCCTCAAATTCTTGGAAAACGTAAACTTATTCATTTAATCCAAGAAATACACCCAAAACCCGAGAAATACACCCAAAACTCTCCCACTCTCTCTCTCTCTCTCTCTAGCCTACGGCATCACCATCGGCGCCAGCCACACCTCAGTCCTCTCTCCATATTTTTACATACACAGCTCCGACCACCATGCACGGGTTCGGCCACCCGGTTTATACCATATATCAATCGACCTAACTTAGGCATCAAAGGACCTTTAGCCAACACCCCCCGGGTGTGGTCTATTTACTCCATTCTTTTTTTTAGGAACCGAGGACGAGAGAGAAGGAAGATCAAAGGTTCAAGAATCCACAAGCAAATATTCTCCAGTGAGGATTTTTCCACAAACATTTGGTGCTTTCATCGAGAGCATGAGTTATACTCAACACGTGCTCTTGACTTAAAGGAATTCGCTTCCTCCATTTTTTTCACTCAATCAAAGCCTTTTGAAGAACCATGGCCGGAAGCAAACAAACAAGGAGAAAAACTATCGCGATTGCCCAATCCGCGACTGGCCCAGGCCACCACGACGATGTGGCCCCAAGCATGTCCCACGCTGTAGCCGAGGTCGTGGCTCGCCTTCACAGCGCCGTAGCTGCCACTGCAGACCCTGTTGCCGCCGCTGCACCTCCTCTCAATCCCGTGACCGACAACTCCACTTTGCTGCTCACCGCCGCGCTACAGCCGCAAGGTCACCTAGCTGGGGGCACCGCGCCATCCCACGGCCACCTCGCAGCAAGCACAGCAGCCGCTACAGTACCCGTTGCCACTCCACATCACGAACACATTGCCACCATGGCCTCGGAGTCACCCCGTCTTGCTGCTTGCCGGATTGCCCCTAGCAAAAGAACTTTCAATCAAAAGATTAGCCATCTATTCAAATCCCCAGCTAATCACAAATCAAGCTTCAGGTGAGTACATGGCGAAACATCTAAGAATGATCCAGTACCTTGACAAAGTCCAAACACTTTTGAAGGAATTCCCTACTTTCACTATCCAACAAGTTCCCTAGGTAGAAAACACTCATGCCAATGCATTGGCAAGTTTAGTATCAGCGATGGACACCTAGTTCGAACACTCCATCCCGATCGTACACCTTGACCGATGAAGCATCGAAGAGAAAGAGCAGATTGACTCAATGCAAATTGATGAGGACCCTAGCTGGCAAGACCCCATCATCGACTACTTGGAAAATGGAAATATGCCAAAGGAAAAATCTGAAGCTAGGAAGGTCCAGTAGAAGGCCGCGAGATACTACATGCAAGACAACAAGCTTATTCACAGATCATACTCCGGCCCTCATCTCACCTGCATAAAATACCCTCAAACACTTTAGATGCTCTACAAGATTCACGACGGCGAGTGTGACAACCACTCTAGGGGCAAATCACTTGCCCAAAAGGCTCTAAGTATAGGCTATTTTTGGCCCACTGTTGTTAATATTATGTTAACTCGCAATTGTACGGGGCAATTAGTAGTATAGCAAGACAAGTACGAGGTCGTACCCACGAAGACTGAGAAGTTAAAACTAGTTATGTACTTAGATTACCAAATTCAAGAAAGTAGGAGGTTATGTCTAAAATAGAATTTAAAGTAAAAGTGGTTGTGATTGTTGAACAAAAGAAGCAAAATGAAATTGCAAATAAAAACAAGTAAACAAATGTAACAAAGAGTGGTTTTAAGAGTTGGAAAACAGATTTTGAGACTAGGGCATTCGAATCACCATAACAATTCAATTTTGGGTTATAAAGATTCAAGTAACAAGTCTAATTCAGATTCAAAGATTGATTCTAGCTAAAGTATGATTAGGCCATGGTGTTTGGTCCTAACCTTGTGTTCCTAATTCCCTAATTTGATCATTAGTTGTCTAACCTAAAATTAAGCATTAGGAACACATTAAGCATAGAAGAACATTTTAAACAACCAAGTATGTATCTAATCCCTGTTGTCGAATGTCCATACATACTCTTCCTATTCATAGTTCAATTCGAATTAAAGCATGGTGTATACTCTTAATTCAAACCAAGATAGCTAACTGTTGTTAATATTATGTTAACTCGCAATTGTACGGAGCAATTAGTAGTATAGCAAGACAAGTACGAGGACGTACCCACGAAGACTGAGAAGTTAAAACTAGTTATGTACTTAGATTCCCAAATTCAAGAAAGTAGGAGGTTATGTCTAAAACAGAATTTAAAACAAGAGTGGTTGTGATTGTTGAACAAAAGAAGCAAAATAAAATTTGAAACAAAAACAAGTAAACAAATGTAACAAAGAGTGGTCTTAAGAGTTGGAAAACAGATTTTGAGACTAGGGCATTCGAATCACCATAACAATTCAATTCTGGGTTATAAAGATTCAAGTAACAAGTCTAATTCAGATTCAAAGATTGATTCTAGCTAAAGTATGATTAGGCCATGGTGTTTGGTCCTAACCTTGTGTTCCTAATTCCCTAATTTGATCATTTGTTGTCTAA